CGTTAAAATTTTGACCAACAGTGTATTTGCCAACGATATACTTAATATCGAAATGGTCGAATAGCGTGACATGGAGCAGACGTGTAAGTTTATGATGATTTTAATGAATTTTTCATGTCGTGTACGTTTTGCAATAAGTCTGTTCGGGTTACATAATACATTCTTTACACGCAGGACTCTTTGGCATGTTACCAGTCTCAAAATACGTAGATTCTATCGTAATGAGCTGTGACCATGCACTATTGCTTGATTTCAGAAATTCCAACCGTACGATTTATATCGATGTGCATGAACAATCCACATACCACCATTTAGAACAGAAAGAATTAAATTTCCGCTAATGAAAAGCGACGAATGGCTATGAGATTTATTATAGTATCAGACTGCGGAAGTTCATGCGTGAATTCCTTGAAATCATCCCCTCGATCTCACAAATGAATTTATAGATAATGATATATATTATAATTTTACCAAGTAAAACTTTTGCAAAATTTTTTGCATAATGCAATATTAATTTGCAAAAATTTTGCAACAATTTTACTTTGTAAAATATTTTATACGCCTTTATTTTTACTATCGGTTTACAATTAAAATTATATTCTGTGAATTTATAGTTTGTATTTTACATTCAAAAACGTTTTGCAAAATATTAGATGTCAAATTAGTTTACAGTAAGAAAATTACATGTTTAATCGTTTTTAGTTAAGTAAAACATAATGTGTACGTTTAATATTGCTAAAATGATAGTTTTAATTATAAATTATTTTTTTTTGGAAGAATTGTAAGTTATTACTTTTTTATGATATAATGATGATAATTATAAGAATTGTTATAAGAAATTAGTAAATTAATAAATGTATTATAGATAATATAGTTAAATGATATGAATTACATTTATTAATTTTGAATATCTATTCATTCTTGAATTTAATTACAAAACTGTCAAAATTGTCATCTGCTTTGTTGCAAACATATTTTCTTATAAACATTTTCAAGTTCAATTTCTTTAAAAACAAAGTCGAATATAATAAAATTTCATTTTGTGTTTTCAACTTATTTTTGTGCAAAATCACCATTTCTTTCATCTGTACCACTAACTATACTGAATGGAAATTCAATATTAAAAACCTCGGTAAAATTTTAAGTACATATAAAATAATATACCGTTCTAAAATTTTAGTTATATGTATATTAAATAATATACCTTCCATATTATATTTGCAAGTATATTTTGTTTCATTGTCTAAGCGTTAGCTATAAATGTTTCCTGTAAATTTTCACGGTTTATTTTACAAGAGATGTCCAACGTGGTTTCCATTAGCTTCAAGGCAGTTTTGATGAAGATTTGTTTATAAATTTCATCTTGGGTTGAAGAAGCTTCGTAAAACTGAAGGTAAACAATATGATGAAGCAACGACGATGCAACGTTTAGAACAGAAATAAAAATTAAGAAAATCTGCAATTAATCAATTTTCTACGAATTATCCTGATTTTCTTATACCAGTCATTTGAAGGTCAATACATAGTTAAGATCAACTTCTTTTCTTTTATAATATGTATGGAAAAATGGAAGGTTAACAAATGTCTAAAATCTATTTTTGTTTAGTTAGAAATTAAATAAATTTGTCATAACATATATTTTTATTAAATTACACATCATTTAATAAAATGCAATTGATATTCGTTGAAAATAAGTTATAAATCTGTCAAATCAATGTAATAATCGTAGGAGTTAGATTAAAATATTATATAGTGTCGCAAAAATTCTACAAGAGCGAAAGTTATTGAAAGATCGAAATGTAGCAAGAACATAAAATGTATAGAAAAGCGATTGATAATAATTCCAAAATAGAAAAGTTTTATACTTGCTTTGACATTGTGTCACGAAAATATTCGAACCCAGATTATTATAAGTAGTTTCGCGAAGCGGGAAGCTCTTTACGCGAAGCCGCAAGTCGCGAACTTAACGACGAGCATGTTGATAACGGCGACCGTGGATAGCAACCGGCGTATATAAAATAGAGGCTCGCAATAGGAGCTGGCCTATTTGACTATCTGAAAGAGAGGATAAAAAGGAACTCCAGCAGGAGAGTTCGGCAATAATACCTAGACACCTGCCTCGAGGAAGACTTAGCTGATTAGGAACTCCGGTAGGAGAGCTCGGCAAAAATACCTGGACGCCTGTCTGAAGAGTAGCTAGTAAAGAAACTCCAGCAGGAGAGTTCGGCGAAAATATCTGGACGCCTGCTCGGAGTATAATTGATTAAAAGCGAAACTCTGGCGGGTGTGTTCGGCGAAAATACATGGACGCCTGCGTGCAAAATAGTAAAAGGTTAAAGACTGCGGCAGGAGTATACAGTCAGATTTGGACGCCTGCCTGGAGAATAGGGAAAAAGTACGGGAGCTTGTTCCTAGACACTCACAGATAGAGCATCTCCGGGACGCCCCTAAAATATAGAAGAGTACGGGAGAATATTCCTGGTCGCCCGTTCGATATGGAGAATTCGGAGATAATAGCTGGACGTCAATCAAACGGGAGAGAACAGAATTACTCTCCTGGACGCCTGGTTAAATAGTAAAACTCCTTGGAATAAATCTTATCTTTCACAAATCCATATTACTTGAATTCCGTGTCCTATTCCTGAAGACCAATGACCATGACTACAAGTACACATTTTTATCGAAAAATGTTAAAATAATATTACATGATATTCATATAATCATCGAATAATATTCTCTATACGAATTTTAATGCGCTCACAATCATAATTCGGATAAGAATCCCTGACCTTCATATATGATACCATCGCAAATGTAACATAAGTTCTAATATTTAAACGGATCTGGTTTGCTCAGTTATCTACCCTGCAAAAAGAAACCTGTAAATAAAGAAAAGAAAGAGAAAATATTCTCTCTAAATCAAGAAATAAATTTACACAAAATAAAAGATGTATTTTCAATATCTAATTGTGCAAGACACATGGGTACATAATTATGAAACACATTTCTGGCAAGGTTAATTTTTTATAAAAATATGCATTCACATAAACTTCCGCAGTCTAGACTGGATATTTATACAAACTTCCGTAGCTTAAACCGCAGATTTACACAAACTATTTGTCCAAACTTCCGCAGTTTGTATACATTCTACTTTTTTTGATCGTTTTATTTGCACATATAAAATATTACATGCACGGAAAGTTGCTATTTTTGCATCGAAACGAATTTACCAAAGAGTAATACTGTTTTATTAATATATGAGCAATGAGAACAAATTTTCTGTTAAAATTATTTTAAAATATATACAATAGAAGAGAATTTTCTTTTAGAATATAAAATCTTAAAATGTAACTGCTATGACTATATTTTCTAACTCTTTTCGGATTAGCAATTCAGAATACAATATTTTAACTTTTTTAATTTAATATTTTTTTTTAACTAAACATTTTTCTATCGAAATTCCGAGGGGTTTTTAATTAAAATAATACTAAACAGGGCATAATTTAAACAGCATTTAGTTATATTTTTAGTTATATTTAGCTATTGAATAAACCATACATCTATTTCCACATTGTCCGTAAAATGTAGTCTTGTACCCTTACATTGTTCATAAAACCAAACCTTGTGCCCTTACATTGTCCATAAAACATTGTCTTGTATTCCGACATTGTCCATGAAACATAAGCTGTACCCTCACATGGTCCTTAAAATGTAGTCTTGTACCCTCACATTATCCATAAAATATGGTCTCGTATTCTGACATTGTCCGTCAAATATAGGCGTGTACTTCCACATTGTCCCTACAATGTAGCCTTGTACTTTGACATTGTCCGTAAAAGCTAGGCCATTTTTCGACATTGTCCAGGCACTACTTACGCATTGAACACATATGTGTACAAGTATTTCAAATATTTTTGCAATAATCTATTTTACTAATTTATTGAAAATAATTAGTAAAAGACTCACTAACAAATATTAACCCCTTCCCGTGTCATTTATTTAACAGATGTATCAATCAAAACTAACTATTCAGGGCTATAACATTAAAACGAAAAAAGAAAATTAAAATGTTGTGAGTGTTTTATATTCAGGGGTCCTTGATAATGCAACTTATAGTTGGACTTAAATTTCAAGTTGAAGAATGTTCAAAGTTTGAGTAAGGTTTGTCACATTTGAGCTGTAAGTGCGTCACGAGTGAGACTCGTCAAAGTACGAGAAGGGGTTAAGAAGTAAATATAGTCAAAATTGAACCACCTTGCATAATTTCGATTCAATTATTTCTTTATTCGAACATTTTATACTAGCTTTCAGTAACCAAGTATGTAACTTGTTACAATTGTATCATTCTGTACGTTGTCTCGTATTAGCATAATTTATCATCTTGCACTACTTATGCATTGAACACATAATGTATACAAGTATTTCATATATATTTACAACAATTTGTTTGATCAATCAATTTATAATATTAATAAACATAAAATGAGTTATAGACTCTCCAAGTATTAATAAGTAAATATAGTCGAAATTATGTCATGTTTGGTCTCATTTTCATAGGAATAATCTCATTAATATGTTAAAAAAACATTTTCGTTTGGAAAAAGTTTGAAAATTGTCTTTAATATGACATTTGATACGCGGGAATTTAAATCCCACGGTTGCCTTCATATGCTCTCCGTTTGTATCTTTTACTCTCTGTCCTTTTCTTTCTTCGAGAAACAAATGAAGCGAGTTGCGAGGCTCGAATTTCGATTCTGCTACTTGTTGCTTAAACAACTACTACTCTCACTACACTATGATACCTACAACTGCTACTCTCCAGTTGTTCCATTTTTATTCCGAGCTGAGGGACAATATGCGAGACATTACTGTACTATGAAATTTATATATCATATATCTCTTATAAAAGATAGACACATTTTCACCTACTTGTAACAATTCTTTAATTATTGTTATAATTTCTTGTTTTTACTCAAAACAATATTGAAATGATGTTGCAGGCTTCGGAAGAATATCGCGAGCATAGTACACACAAAACTCACAGAGCGAGGAAGACTCGTCAAAGGCAGGAACAACGCGTTGAACACAGTTCAACTGTACAAGAAAGCTCGAGCGTAACAAAGAAGAATTTCAACGTAATCCGTTTGAACAACATCCGTCTACCAGTAGCCGGCGGCACTGTAACATGTGAGTATTTCATATCTTATGTCAAATATGAAATAATATAGGAAAAACTGGAACGCCTGAATATATTTTGCAGTTCATTACTTGATGTTATATTAGTGTAGGGGTTTAAACGTTTTGCTGAAAGCTTGTCATAGTATTATCTGTGAGTTTGGGAATTTAGGGATTAAAGAATTTGGGAATGTGGGTATTTGACAATTTGGAAATTAAAAGATTTGAATATTCGACAATTTTGAAATTTGGAGATTTCAGAATTTGGAATCTTGAAAATTCAGAAATTTGGAGATTTAAGATTTTGGGTATTTGGAGATTTAGGGATTTGGACCTTGGAAAATCTTGAGATTTTAAGATTGGAAAATATTAAGATTTGTGAGTTTTGAGATTTTGAGATTGGACAATATTGAGATTTGGAAATTTTGAGATTAGAGAATATTATGATTTGGAAATTTTAAGATTTTTAGATTTGAACATTTGTAGGTTTGGAAATGTTGAAAGAGGATTTCGAGATTTTGAAAATTTTTGAATTTGTGATTTGAGATTTGAAAATAAATGTTGACTTTACCTTAAGGTGTCAAAAAACACCTCATGATACAAATAAATATACCATAAGCACCTTTTTAGGCCTAAGATAAGCTAGAAGAAAATGATATCGCTGAATTAATTTAAAAATCAATGCATGGAAAGTCAAAAAATGAATTGTAAAGAAATGATTCAACTTAGAGAATTTTAAATTAAAATTTGAAACGTGTCTGACATCTCTTGGTAGAAATAGTATTAATATAGAATATTACCTATCATATAGTTCGTGTAGCTTAATCATATCATAACTAGAACACCTCACCCACGTGTTCTCCTTTATCTCTTTCCAACTTTACGATCCTCTACGTCTCGGTAGATCAACGAAAGCAGCTTAGCATGATTGATTTTTGTAAGTAAATAGTGCACAGAAATTGTGATTTGGCTGGAAAATAAAGAGAGCAAAAGCAGATCAGAAAGAGTGAGAGAGGAAGAAAGAGATGGAGAGATGTGGACAGCTGTGCGTTGAAGGGAGGTGATGATATTAATACTGGATGATGAAGTGACTCCGGATGTGCGGAACCACATTCGTCACTGGCCCAAAAATCGAAGCTCGAATTTCAGAACCAGGACGACAGAAATTTTAGAGTTAACCCTTTGCACTCGAGGTGACTCATACTCATACAAGTTGAAATAGGTATTTTTTGACGCTAGGTTTACGTCCGATATGTTACTTTCGGATTAACACTAAAGTACAACAATAAATATATAAGTGATAAAACATACAGTAATTTATTACTTTTGTAATTATTATCGACAAAATTATTATTATCATTATTTGTTTCGATTGAAAGCATTTTAATCATTTTTGCAATTTGAAATGACGAATATAGGATGCGTCATTTTCTTCTAGTTTAAACCTACTGTTAACATGTATATGTAGTTTTATATGTATAAGAGTTTATACAGATTACAATGTGTGATAAGTGCTTTTTGTAACTTTATCAATTTTTTGTTGCACCCTTTCAAAGTGTTACTTTGCAATACTAAATAATTTTTTTTAACTAATTTTTTAAATAGAAAATATTTTGTTGCAAGATAAAAATGAAAAATTAAAAGTATTTGTTAAGGTTCAGTACTTAGATTCTTTTCAAAATTATTAATATCCAATATCCTAATTTTTTAAAGCACCAATATTAAAATTTTTTTGTAATAAGTTTCAATAATTTTCGAATTTTTATATTAGAAAATTTAAAAATAAAAATTTTATAATTTAAAAGTTAATATTGCAAAGTAATATTTGTGAAAGTTCCATTATTGAATTCTGTTATTAACTCTATTAGTAATTGTACTTCCATTATTAATCAAAAAATAAATAAATAATTATTCATTTTTAAAATTATATTACTGTATTTCAATACTGAAAATTATTTTGGAAAGGGTAAATATCTAAATTTCTATTTGAAAAGTTGTATCGTTAAAACCTTTTATTTCTGCAAGTTTATATTTTGCATACAAGCAACATTTTGTTAAACTTTAATACATATTTTAAATACCATAAAGTATTAAAGTTAAACTTTGAAATAAAATCTTTATTACATCAACATAAAAACACAAATGAATCAACATAAAAGTATTCAAAGAATGAATATTTAAAATTGTTTAATAACACTGCTAAATCACACAATATTATAAAAAAAGAAGTACACATATGAACTTATAATAATTAATAGAATGTATTTAAAATGTAACAATCAAGTTTTCTCTCATTGAGCCCTTAATCTATCATTTTTTCAACGATTGTATCAGAACTAATTATTACTGCAATATTAAAATAAATATTGCATAAATATTGCCCATAATCCTTGATTTAGCAATATTTAATTGTTCAAATTACAATGCATACTGAACTCGAAACTTAACCATGTACAAATTCAATTTAAGTTAGTAACATTCGAACTGCAACATCGCGTATCCGACTCGATGTCTTAATCCAAGAGGTTAGGTTAGACTTACATGAGACGTTCGATTACAGTACGTCGATATGTTCGCGACGATTGAATGTTTAATTAAGAGAAGCTGGTACGAACAACGTAACTTCACGTAAATTCATCGTGACACGGTTGTTCGCAATTAGTCAAGCGAGCCTGAGCTCGATTTCTCATTTTACTCATGTTACTCGTGTTACCCTTGGCACACGTTTAAGGCGAATCTACAAGCCGATCCGCTTGCGCTCACTTGGCCATTTCCTGCGCAAACTGGAAACAGCGACTAAGATTTTCCGCGCCAAATTTCTCTTCTATCTTAAGAATTCCGGGATTCTTTCCGCCTGATAAAGAATTACATAATCTCTGACGTGCATTAATCGTTACATTCACTGACTGAAAATAATCTTTTTAATCATGTGTTCAAATAGGTTAGGTAATTATTGTAATATTCAAAATGTTGATATATTATCTTTGTAATCCTATGTTGATTAATAGGTTAACTTTGTTGTATTCAAAATGTAAATTTATAGTAAATTTAGTAAATTATGGGTTATGAGTTATGGGAATATTCACAATGTGAAATCCTATAAATTGCGTAAATCATGAAAAAGGTAAGAGGTTTTTGATCTTCTAATGATGGATCATTGAGAAAATGACAATTTTAATTTTATTCTGTACTTTGTTATTTTGCTCTTCAGTTAAAAATTTATTGTTAATACTTGTATATTGATTACAATATTAGGTACGTTAATTATAATTTCTTGAATTTAATAGAAACTTTAGCTAAGAAAATTATACTTCAGAGATTTTTTCATAGAAATAATAATATGTGTTGTAATAAACATTTCTAGCATTTATTTACTTACTTATAAACAGATAAAAATGCAAAAATTATATTATTATGTTTTTAGCCTTATTATGTTGGAATTTTAATAAAAAATATTTTTTTGAACATTTCCTAGAATTGGGTCATGTCTTAAGATGTTTGAGGACCATAAGTTGGAGATATTTATTATAATTACTTCCTTAAATAGTGGTAATAACAATTATTATCAAAATATTAATTGAATAGTATACATATAACATAAAATGTAGAATAAATTGTTAATTTTTTAAGATGGTTTAAATATTTAATTATTAAACAATTAATTAATTTGCGTTAGGTACTTTTCATTTTGTTAAACAGCAAATTTAATGAAAAATTTTCATTAAAAACATACAATTATCTTAAATAATAAACTTTGTTAAAAGTGTATAAATTTTTTTCCTGCAAGTATCATGAAACATGGTCTCAATTATCAGTCTTTTAAAAGAATGTAGGACAATGATTAATTATTAATCTAATGTTAAAATAATTTTTAATCACCTACTTCATTAAACGTCATTAACTTGCACAATAACATACAATATGAGTTTTATAGTTTGTAAAAATCTTACAAATCATACAAGATTATTAAATATTAATTGTATAACTACAAAACATTTAAGAGGTTAAGTTATGTGAAATAAATTACATGACAATTTTTCAAAACTTCAAACTTCATAGTAATATAAAATATAGCTTAATATAATTCTACTATAATATAAAATATTGTATAATATAATTGTAGAATAATATAAAGTATAACTAGTAAATATCTTAAAAATTTTTTAAAGTATTAAATGCTGCACAACCTGGAAACGCTTAAGAGGTTAAGTTATGTGAAATAAATTATATAACAAATTTTCAAACGTTCAAATTGATAGTAATAAAAAGTCTAGTATAATATAATAGCATAATAATAGAAAATATAAGTAGTACAAATTTTGAGAGTCCTGAAAGATTATTAATCATCAGATACTCAACTCCAACCACTTAAAGAGGTTGAACTATTTTAAGTAGGCACTTTAGTGAAATACCTTCTCAGTCTAAACTAATATCGTTAAAACAGCAACAGTCAGAAAACAAAACAGTCGAGTGGAATAGATTAAATAGCAATGTGACTAAGATATCGGAAACGTCTAAATATTCGTTCGATCTAAAAATAAAAATACTATTAGTCTGAAGTATTAACGCGAGAATTTTGCCAAGGACCGATCACATCTTTCATATTACAATCTACTTAACTTGTTACTTCTATGGCCGAACATCGTGTCTAATATGAAGCTTAATATAATCATTTTTCAAAAATTAATTACGCTTTCATGTCTCCGTAAATATATTAAGTAGTACGCAATATTAAGTTTCCTGAAAATTATTACTTGCTAAATTATTTTATTCTTAGCAAACATATGATGTAATATTATTATATGTATAGTATTATTATACTATATTTTAGTAAAGTTTTTGCATTATATTATTAAGTGAATTCACAAATCAAGAAAGTTCGCGACCTTTAATTTATCATTAAAACATAATTTAATTATATAGTATAATGTAGTATTATTATATAACGTTTTAGTAAATTTTTTGCACTATTTAAATGACTTTATAAATCAAGTAAATTTAAAACTTTTAAT